CTACTACTGCTGCTGCTGCTGCTGCTGCTACTACTACTACCATAGCGGCTACGACTCCTATTGCTACGACTTCTACCACTACTACCACTAGTACGACTACTCTTATGACTACGATTCCTACTGCGGTTGCTACTACGACTTCTACTATTTCTACGACTACGATGGCTACGATTGTTATTGCTACGACTACGACTACGACGGCTACCACGTCTACCATTATTACTCTTACTTTTGCTACTGTTACTATTACCACTACCCTTACCATTACTACTACGACAACAACTACTACTACTACTACTACTACTACTACGACTACGACTACGACTACGGCTACTAATACTAGTACGGCTAGTACTACTACTACTACAATTACTACTACGACTACTTTGTCTTACTGCTACTACTACTACTACTTTTTCTACTATGTCTACTACTACTTCTACTACTACTACTACTACTACCACTACTACTACTGCTGCTGCTACTACTACTACTACTACTGCTACTACAGCTACTACTGCTACTGCTACTACTACTACCCCTTCGCTTCCCGAGGCTGACCAGAGGCTTCCGAGGCCCTACGAGGCACGCATCCCATTTCTATTTCCGCACGTACGAGTTGCCGGGACGAAGCGTTTATTATCCCCCCGAACACTGTCGTGATTTACAGGTGATCCAGGGGAGGAGGAGGAGGAGGAGGAGGAGGAGGAGACGGAAGAGCAGGTGTTTGGATTGCGCCTTTGATTCCACCGTTGGCTGGTCAGGATGAGGTCGGCACTCCGCTGGCAGAACGAAGTCGGAGTTGGACCCCAAGCAGTTTACAGCAGGCGCTGCATGAGGAACACAATACACTTGTTGAGATTCGGCACGGGCGCCAAGAACGCAGCTCCAAGAGCAGAGCGACGCAACTTCTGTGACAACACCGACGGGACGCGTCGTCACAGAGGCTAGCGAAGGATCAACTCCTTCCCATAATTTCCTCACCCCGCTTACCAACGCACTCCCTCCCTCTTTCACATCAGGCAGCGTGGCTGGCATCGGCTAAAGTCGTCGACAGATGGCTCCAGGCAGACAGACAAGCGTGAGAACTCATTCAGGAACGATCGCTGTGACGTTGGCACTCGGCCACTTGGGCGGGGGATGGGTAGAGGGAGGGGGGAATGTAAGAAACGAGAGGGAGGTGGACGGAGGGAGAGAGAGAAGAGGGGGGGAGATGAGAGGGGGGAGGATGAGGCGGAGGAGGAGGAGGAGGATAAAGAGGATTGAAGACGCGGAGGAGGATGGAGGAGGAACGGAGCAGGAGGGAAGAGGCGGCGTTGGAGGAGGAATGGGGTCATACGTTGGACCATGTCAATTGTTTCATAACCGTTCCGCTTGGTGGTTGTGTTTGTTGTGTCCACGCGCGCGTGCGTGCCATGTGACATGGCAGGGTTTCTCTCTCGTCTCCTCACGGCCTCCGACCCTGCTCATCATCCACCGCCGTCAGCTCTGGCGTGCTCGGCGCTGCTTTCACAGCTCGTTCGTCCCCGTCGCGGTCATATTGCTTGATGGCGATATTCGTCATCAGGCCTTCGCGCAGCGACTGTAGTTTTAGTTCGTGGCGGGTAGCAACATTCGTCCACTCTGCTTTTACCCGTTGTCCTACCTTGTCATCCTATTCCTCGGCACTCACCATGCATACTACTTTCTTTTCTCCCCGAGGACATGCTGAGAGTCGTTCGCCCCTCCACGTATTTTGTCTACACAGGATTGGTACACTCTGGTTTGTCTTAAAGTTTGGTTCGCACCAGACGTTTCGGTCTTTCCAAAGTGGAGTTCCCGCTGCAGCGAGGGCCTCATGTTCGGATCGCCAGTTTGCTCCCGTCGTTCAGAATGGTGCGTTCGCCCCAACGCGGGCCACGTTTCTCAATCGGAGTCCTTCCTCATCATTTTCTCCCCGATCATTCCCTCCTATCCGCCTTCCAGTGGTCCTCATCCTCCTCCTCCCGCTTCTTCTAATCTGAGTCATTTCTGCGCTTGGTGCTGCTGGTCCTCCTCGTCCTCCTCGTTCCTAATATTCCGTTCTTCCTCCTGCTCATCCTTCAGCTCAGTTGTACACAGTTCCCTTTTTCTGGTTGTGCATAACATGATGGTGTCCTTTTCGGGGGTTCCAGGTCCGCTGTGTCAGCCGCCTGCTGATTGAGGATGTCAGCGCCATGGGAAGGGTGGAAGGGGTAGGATGTCAGATATGGCGCGAGCGCACATCGCTTGTCTTCTTCCCTATCCTCTCTCCTCCCAGTCGTCCTCCTCCTCCTGCTCATCCGCGTCCTCATCCCCCCTCCCCGCCCTCCGCCTCTTGTGCCCCCCCCCCCCATCCTCCAATTATTCTTAGCACTCCTCCCCGCCCTTGCCGCCTCTTCCCTCCTCGTAGGGCGAGGACGAGGAGGAGCAGAAGAGGAGGCGAGGGATGGAGGGGGAGGTGGAAGGGGGAGGGGGAGCGTGGAGAGACCAGGTTAATCTTCGTTTCCTTGGCAATTGGCATTGGTTTTTGTGGAGGGGATCGCTCGGTTGGTTCGCTGCTGGGCTCCAGAGGTTAGTCGGAAGTATCAGCAGAAGTACATCGGGGCGTTTACATAAAAACGGAAGAGACGGTAAATATGATAATGAAATGAGGGGGGATCGGAGGTCGTGAGGTGGAGTCGGATAAGGATATGCAAGAGTCTGGTATGTACGTAGTTCAGGGTATGCGAGGGCCCCACCCCCAAACCCAGGAAGGGGGATCATGAGCTACAATAAAAAACCAGCCTTGACATTTGGATGACCTTTTGAAGCAAAGCTTCTTGACATCTCTCAGTGCTGGACATGCTTGTCATTCTTTCCGCCTCCTCGGTCCTCGGGTAGTGCTATGCACTCTAGATATTTACGTCATGCCGCTTACAGCGTTGCACGCCGACATCGAAACCATGCTTCGCCCGCTAAGCCACTCGGAGGCATCGGCAGAGGCCTTTCTCGGGCTGCAGTTCCTGGGATGTTGAATCGAACATCGGCCCCATTACGCCCCTGGTACGGTGAAATCCGGCCGAATCCCGTTCGGCCCGCTTGGGCCCGCTCAATCTGGCCTCACACTTTTTGGTGAATCTGGCTGGTTCCGGCTGACGGGCCCTCGATCGAGGTCAGCGCTTCTTAATTCGCTCCCACGACCTCCCGAGAGTTGCCCCAGTTTCTCAGAAAGCCCGAGGTCTTCTGAGAAGCCCCGCCAAGTTCTGAGAAGGCCGGCCCCCTAAGCCTTTCCCCAGGTGGGCCGCCGAAAATGGCGACCGCGCTGCCAGCCCAGGTGCGCATACTGGACCTCTACGCCGGCACCGGCTCCCTCGGGATCGAGGCGCTCAGCCGCGGCGCGTCGGAGTGCATTTTTGTTGACAACGTCAAGGACCAGGGATCCAGAACACCAGCAGTGATGACGTAGCACTTAATTCGGGCTACCTGTGGCAGTCTTGGCCTCCTCCCGTGTATCCCTTCTGCCCGTGTGTTGCCGAGGCTGCCCCAGCATTGACACCCCAGAGTCCTGGCTTGCCTTAGGGCCCACCACACAGAGTTCAAATATTTGTTTTGGTTTGCGCGAAATGGTTTGCACGACATGCTCTCATGACATTTCTGGGTGAGACTGTCTTGTTTTTAACACGTCCGCGTTATGTTATGACGACATGGGTGTTATGTTCATAACATTATCTCGGTCTGAAAGCATTTCGTGGCAGGCATGTCGCAATGCTGGGATGGTCGCTCACTGCTTAATTTGTGTCGGGGTTGAGAAGCTGTTGCAGCATTAGGGACAGGATGGTGGAGTAAGTGCAGTTTGAAGGGCGGGGCGAGCAAGGTAAAGAGGAGGGTGTGATAAATAAGGAGTATGGAGACCAAATGAGGCTGACTATGACAAGGGCAAGAGGGAGGTTTCGACGAGAGCATGATGGGCGATTGCTGTACTACTTCTACCAGTCTTAAAACTACCAGCTTGTTTAATAACTGCAATGCTGATATCGACGACTGTGTCTACGACTAGGACTACGACGACGACTACTATTACTACGACTACTACTACTACTACTACTACTACTACTACGACCACCACTACTACTGCTACTACTACTACTACTACTACTACTACTACTTCTACTACTACGAGTACGACTACGACTACCACTATCATTGATGCTACGACTAGTTCTACCAGTACGACTGCGACTACGACTACGACTGAAAACTATTACCACGTTTCCTATCACAATTATTGTAACAGTTATTTCTACGACTACTATCACTACTACTACTACTCCTTTTACTACTAGTACTATACGAACGCTATGTCTACGACTACTACAGCTACTACTTCTGTTTCAACTGATTTTACTGGTGATCTTACGTTTACTACTACTTACGACTACGACGACAACGATTTCAGATTCTCTGTATTACTGCGACGACTACTATTATTAGTAATACTACTACCACCGCAACTACACTACTACTACTGCCTCGAGCACTCGTACCGCAACAACAGCTACTTGTACAAGTACTACTACGACTACTACTTTGACAGCGACTACTTCTACGTCTACCACTACTTCTACGGCCACCACTACTATTATTACCACTACTACGATTACCACTACGGCTACTACTACTACTACCACTACTACTACTACTACTACTATTATTATAACGACTGTGACTACTATTACGAGTGCTACTACTACTCCTACACCTCCCTAATGCTATTATTCCACTACTATCGATACTACCACTACTGCTTCTACTACGACTGGCACCACGAATACTACCACTACTACTCTCACTACCACTACTACTACTACTACTACTACTACTACTACTACTACTACTACGACTACGACTCTTGCTATTACGAGTACGACTGCTTCTATTATTGTTTCTACTACTAACACTATTTGTACTAGTATCACTACCATTGCTAATGCTACAGCCACTGCTACTTCTACGGGTGCCACTGCGCTTGCGAGTGTTATTGCTACTACTCCCGCGGCTTCCCCTACTGGTATCCCTGCGATTGTGATTACTGCTGCGACTACAGATGCCACTAGTACTACTAGTACTACGATTGCTGCCACTACAACTACCCTCAGTACTACTACGGCTGCTGCTATTACTACTACTGCTACTTCTTTTCCGAGTACGACTACTATTGATATGATTACCACTACTACGAGTACGACTACTACAAGATTGCTACTGCTTGTGCTATACGACTACTACTGCTACTACTACTACTACTACCACTATTGCAGCGCTTGCTTCTACGACTGCTTCGACTAGTGTTGCCACTAGGACTTCGATTATTACTACCACTATGACAACCGCTACTGCTACTACTACCCTTTCTACGACTGCTACTACTACGAGTAGTATTACGATCTCGACGATGGGTTCCACTAGTATTACTACTACTACTACTACTGCCACTACTACTACTACTACTACTACTACTACTACTACTACTACTACTACTACTACTACTAGTAATGCTACTATCACTAGTGCTACTATACTACTACTACTACTACTGCTACTACTACTACTACTACTACTACTACTACTACGACCACTACTACCACTACTACTACCTACTATCTGTTGCTACTACTACTACTATTAATATCATTACTACTACTACTACTACTACTACCACCTACTACCTACTTCCTGCTGCCTACGGCCTACTACCTACTACCTACTACCTACTACCTACGACTACTACTACTACTACTACTACTACTACTACTACTACGACTACTACTACTACTACTACTACTTCCATTGCTACGGCTACTGCTACTACTGATACTGCTACTGCTACTTCTATTACGACTACTACGACTGTTCAGATCGCTACTACTGCTACTACTGCTACTAATATTACTACTACGACGACGACGACTACTACTACTACTAACACGATTACTCCTACTACTAAGACGTCTACTACTACGGTTACTCCTACCGCGACTACTATTACTGCTACTACTACTACCACCGCTACTACCACTACTACTACTACTACTACTACTACTACTACTACGACTACTACTACTACTACTACTACTACTACCACCACCACTACTACTACTACTACTGCTACTACGACTACTACTACTACTACTACTACTACTACTACTACTACTACTACTACTACTATTTCGACTACTACGACGACTACTACTACTACTACTACTACTACTACTACCACTACTACTACTACTACTACTACTACTACTACTACTACTACTACTACTACGGCTACTACCAATAGTAGCTCCATATCCGCTACGCATAGTAACGCTACATCGACGCTTGCTCTTACTACTGCTAACACTTGTATCGCAACTTGAGTATTACTAGTGAGTTTACTGTTACTACCATTACTCTCACTACTACGATCTAGGGGCAACCAGTGCGATCACTGCTGCGACGCACTGGTCTCACGAGCTTCAGCGCAGCGTCTAGCACTCTGACCTACAAATCTTGGTGCGTCGCGTATCCCCACCAGCCCATGCAGAAACGATGCCACGGTGTTTTCGGGCGGGGAGTGACGTATACGAGCATCTAGTCCCATCGTTTTCGCCTCTGGGCGCCTCCAGAAGACTTTGGGGTCCTTTGGGAGCCTCCTGGGGATCGCATTCCTCGTTTTGGCCCGCTTGTGCCTGCTGGAGTGCCTTCGTCTTCGCGGCCAGGATCTTCTGAAAACTCGACCTGGGAGCGGTCTGGGGAGCATCGGTAATGGTTGTGTCTCAATGCCCCCCGACCCCAAAGAAACCCTCAGTGCCCCATGAAGCGTTCCGTTCGAAGGTTTCTTTGTCAGGACGATGTCCTCAAGCGCTCGCCGTGCTGTTGGGTGACTGCGTGTGGCAGGCAGGGAGAGGGGTGTGGGGGCCCGAGGAGTGCGTGGACTGCTGCATCGCCAACGCCTGGGCTGCTGGCTTCCTGGATCACGAGGTCGCCGCCATGGGGACGCTGTCCGAGCGTATGAAGGCGACCTCAGCACGTGTGCTGTGCCCTGATGTTTCCCATTCTACCATTTTAGATGAGTTCTATCATTGTTGGGCTGTGCGATTCGCGGAGATTCAGCATGGGCGCTTTCCCCTCTACTGCTACCACCAGCTTCAAGATCAATCCTTTTTTTCTTGCCCCGCGACCCACCATGCCACTGCATAACACAGAGGGCAGAAGGCGAATGTCACGGCGGACGACGGCGGACGGCCACGGCGGCGACGGCGGGCGACGGCGACGACGGACAACGGACTGCGACGGACGGCGGCGGTCGGCGGCGGGCGGCGACGGCAGAGGACGACCCGCGGCTGCCGGGCCAACGGCTGTGTGCGGTCCACCGTGGACTGCCGTGGCCTCGGCGCGCCACCGCAGGCCGAGATCGACCCTGTGATCATGGTCGGGGGGCCGCGCGCGAGCGTGGCGATCGAGCGCCACAGGGCCCAGGCGGCGCGGCGCGGGGGAGGGGGGCCCAGTTCTCCAACGCGTGGAAGCACCCAATCCGAAGAAGGTCAGGTCAGGTCAGGCCTGTATGCCCACGGGGGGCAGGCGGGAAAATACAGCAAGGTCTGGTCGCGCCGTAAGCTCCGGCACCCCGCCAACTTCGATCGTGCATGCTTTGCTCATCTGCATTTTGTTTCGCTACGTTCAGGCCGGGTTTCTCTAAGACCAAATTTTGGCAGGCACGTCGCGTGCACAAGCCCAATCCGAAGAAACATACACGTACAGTCAATCAGACAAACCGCCATGAGCATAAGGGCCAGACCCCCATTCCCTCCCTTTCCGCCCAATGTCGAAACGCCGATGTTTTTTATAAATATAAAAAAACGCTCACCTTGATCACCAGGAAGAATCTCGAGTACCACGAAAGTACCGAAACTTGAGGGTTTTCTCGTGACGGGCCCTGGGAGGCGATACTCCTTCGACACTGTTTTATGATACATTTCGGGTGTTCGGAATTCTTTATGAGATTTGGTCCTTGAGCACGATGGGAGCAGCATAACACGAGTGGGGTAAGGTTGAGGAGGAGGGTGAGGAGGAGGAGGAGGAGGAGGAGAAGGAGGAGAAGGAGGAGGAGGAGGAAAAGGAGGAGGAGGCGGAGGAGAAGCAGGAGGAGGAGGAGGAGGAGGAGGAGAAGCAGGAGGAGGAGGAGGAGGAGGGGGAGGAGGAGGAGAAGGAGGGAGCGGGGAACGGGACCCCGCGAGACAGAGCACATTTGTTGTTTTCTCCGCAGGGCGCCTTGTGGCAGAGAGGAGGAGAAGGAGGAGGAGGAGGAGGAGGAGGAGGAGGGGGAAACGCACCCGACTCAATCATGCGCGCCTGGGCGCGTTGCGAGGCGCCGCCGCAGCGCCTCGCCCCCTCTGGCTGCAGCGCTGCCCGCCCGGGCAGGCGGCGCCAGCAGCAGGGCGACGGCGCGCGGCGGCGCTCGCCGGGGCCCGGCCGCGGCCAGGGCGGCGCCCAGCAACCGCAGCGGAGGCACGCTACCCAGGCCGGCCCCTGGGATGCCACGCCTTCGCGGGGCTTCAGCGACGGGGGGTCCATGCAAGCATTTTTGGTGTATTTAAACTATTTTAAATTTTTCGTCCAAAATCCCCCTGTAGGGGGACAGGCCCGACTTAACGCTACTGCTGGTCCCAGCCGGGGCCCAGAGCCGGCCCCCGGGGGGGGGGCCCAGGTCGGCGGGCGGCCGCGGGGGCCCGAAGATTCGGAGGAGGGCAGCCCGCCGCGGAGGTCTCGGAGGTCCACGGCGGCGGCACCGCGGGGGATGCCACGCCTTCGCGGGGCTTCAGCGACGGGGCTTCAGCGTCAGCCAGAGCGCCGGATCCTGCAGTATCCTGCAGGGCCAGGGGTGCGTGCGGTGACCCAGGCTTCGGTGCAGGACCTTGCAGGATCCTTCAGGGTCTTGCAAGGTCTGACCGGCCCCGGTTTCCGTTGACCCAGGTCAGTACGTCCCCGACCTGCCGCGCCGTGCCAGCGAAGAGGGCGTTGGTTGCGGCCGCTTCCGCCGCCGCGGGGCGTCCGTCGGGCTGCGGAGGCTGCGCGCGAGCGGCCGCGGCGGCCGCCACTGCCGCGTCGCCGCCCTCGCGGGGGGCGCACCGCTTGCGCCTGTGGGCCGTTCAGCGCCGGCGCACTTGGATGCCGCGTAATCGGGGGGGCGGTCAATGGGGGGGGCAGCGAGGGCTGACGAAAAGGAGCCTTTCGGGCCCAAAAAGGTGGCCTGCAGGGCGCGGAAAGGGCACCTTTCTTCCCACCTGGCGTTGGGCGTTGAGATGTTTGGTCACTTCTCTTGGCCTCTCAGGCCTCCGCCGCCAAGAAAACTGAATTTCCAACTATTGCTGGGGTCGCAATCCGTCAATAAGCCCGCGGGGGTTACTAAAGACCCTTCTCGGTTAATTCGCGCCCAACGCATTCGGGGTCGGTGGGCGCCGTCGCCGCGGTTGGCTTTCAGCACGGCCAGCTCTACGGTTGCCATCACGGTTGCCATCACGCGCTGCATTGCAGCAAGCGCGTCCAGCCCGCGCGCCCCAGGAGGAGCGCAGGATTCAGGTTGCATGCCGAGCCCGCTGGCGCAGCGCGGCGACCCTTGGTCGCCCAGCCGAAAGCCGAAGCCAACGGACGACACGGCCAGGACACCGTGGTGATCAGTCCTGGAAGAGAACGTTGGTGAATCAGGAGCGAAGCGTCCTGGCTTGCCTCTAGGCCAGCCGAAACATGTCATGATAATTAGCGTTTTCTGGCTTGCACGACACGTTCTCTGAGCATTTCTGGCTGAGGCTGTCTTGCTTTAGTCTGGCGGCTTGAGGTTCTTAGGACATGGCTCTCGTTATTCAAACATCCTTTGGTCTTGGAACCGCTCGTGGTCGCCTACAGGAATGCGGTCCTTGCGCAATGGGTGCACCCCACCTGGAGCACCGCCACCCCTTGCCGACGAACCGCGAGGCGATGTACGAGCCCCGCGGTGGGCACTCGTCGCAGTGATTGCTCGTGCCCTCGATCCTGATTCCCATGGCGAATTTGCTTCATGGCCTCTTGACAGGGCCGTCCCCAGCTGTTCCCTGAGGTCGACGTCACCGCCGCGATACTCATGGCGCTGCGACGTCCTCCTCTTTCTCCTGCCCGCTTCTGCCTCGGCCTCCTCCTCCTTCCTGTGCCCGCCAGTGTCGGAAGATCGGTTCCGCCCGCCGTGCGCACGTCCCCGACCACCCCCGTGCCCTCGCCGAGCTCCAGCTCCGAGCGCGCGGCGGCCCCGCGCGGGCCACCGCTGGGACCTCACCGCCGCCTCCGCTGCCGCTGCCTTGGCATCGCTCGGGCGTGTGCATTTTCCCTCCGGCGAGGACCATCGAGGAGCATCCTCGATCATTTGGCGAAACAGCCACGCACGAAACCGACAAAAAACACAGGGAATGGACGTCCGAGCGACGGCCAGCTGCCGCCTTCGGGGCACCGCTGCAGCGCACTCCCCGAAGGGGCCGCGCTCCGCTGCGCCTCGGCCCCGGCCGCCGCCGCGCGTGGCGGGCGGCGGCCCGCCGTGCGGGCCGCAGGCCTCGGCACCACCGCCGCACGCGCTGGGGAGCGCCGCGCCGGCCTGGGCCCCCGCCGGCCCCAGCTGGGGGCGGACAGGCTCCCAGGGCGGCGGGATTTCGACCTCCTCCTCCTCCTCGTCCGCCTCCTCCTCCTCCTTCTCCTCCTCCTCCTCCGCCTTCTCCTCCTCCTCCTCCTCCTCTTCCTCCTCCTCCTCACATCCTCCTCCTCCTCTTCCTCCTCCTCCTCCTCGTCCTCCTCCTCCTCCTCGTCCTCCTCCTCCTCCCCCCTCCCCTTTTCCTCCTCCTCCGCCTCCTCCTCCTCGTCCTCCTCTTCCTCCTCCTCCTCCTCCTCCTTCTGCTCCCCCCCTTCCTCCTCCTCCTCCTCCTCCGCCTCCTCCTCCAGGCCTGGCACATCCTGGCCTCAGGAAGGCATATACACCGCTCCCGGGCCCATGATGGGCCAGGCCTGGAGCAGTGGCTAGGTCCAGACCCCGCCGCCCTAGCTCCTGGGCCAAGACGGCAAGGGGGAGGCGGGGGGATGGGGAGCGCGAGGAGTCGAGGATGGAGGAGGGGCGACGGGGCATGAGCGAGGGGAGCGCGAAGGCGCTTCAAGAGGAGGGGAAGGATGAGGGCGGAGCTGGAGGCAGGAGGAGAAGGGATGGAGGTGGAGAGTGGAAGTGCTGTACCCTCTTCCTCCCACTCCCCACCCCCTCGAACAGCTCCTCCTCCCTACCCTTTCGAATAGCCTAGCCCCTTCCATGGCCATCCAGAGCCCCCCAACGCGGCCCCAACACAAAACACATGTGTTCCCCGCTCCTCCGCCCTTGTTCCGGCTTCTTCCTTGTCTTCTCTCTCCATCGTGCCTAACTGTTTCCCTTCCCTCCTGAATCCCCTGCTCCTCTGTCTTCTTCCTTGGTTTCAGCCCAGGATACTCGGCAGGATTGCCTTTACGGTTCCTGCAGGGGCGCCGCGTGGCACATGGCGGTAGCGTTGCCCACTGCCGCCACGAGCACGGCATCATTTCAGGTAGTTCATTATGTATCATGTGTGGGCGTATTAGTCGTTACCACCCTTGTGTAGTCTGCATCCCGTTCTGCATCTTGTGTGTACAATCAGAGCTGGATTGCTCTGGCCTGCATCGGGTTGCAGCGGATGTTTCGGTTTCCGTTTCAATCATTCGGGGTGTGTTGGGAAAGCGCGTAGGGGAACGGCTTGCAATTACAGGTAGCCAGCGAGTGCAGGATCAGCACAGTGGTCACAGAGGTGACCTCCGCTGCCCACTGGAGTGGCCAAGTCAGTGAGCATGTGCACACAAACCAAGGCGTGGGCGCAGGTAAGAGCCAGTGGGCTCGTGCGGTTGGCAGACAAACTGCTACCATACATTCGTTCGCACTACCCTTTCCTCTGCGGCTGTCTATTTCGATGTTTACAGTACTTGGAGGACCTGTCCATCACGTGTCAGCTGTCACGGCACATCGTGGTGGCAGCCATTGGGCTTCAGCTCCTCGTCGAGATTGTTCTCGACCCGCGCAATGCAATATAGACGGGTCCTTTTTTGCAGAATCTGTCAGTTCGGCCAGGCTCATTTCTTCGGCACTTGGCAAGATAGGTGGCGAGTTCCAGGCTAGTGCAACGAATCTCGGGTGCGATTTCACTGCAGGCAGGCAGGTTGGTCCAAGCGGCATGTTCGACACACGAAGGCCATTCATACAGTGAAAGCCCGTGCCAAGAAACACCCTGCTTGCCTCCAGGGAGCCCTGGGTTTCTTCGGTTTCGATGGCTGTGCTATGCACGACGCTCCCACACCAACTATCAATGGACGTCCTGGGGTCTCAGGGTTGGGTTTCTTGTGGAGGGTTTCCTTGTGGTCGAGCTCCTACATGGCAGCTGGAAAACGTGACTGGGGCCAGCCCTTCCACTCTT